CATGAGAAAGCTACATGCTCCCATTACTGTTTTAGAACAATATGCATAGACTGTAGAAACAAATACAGTGGGGTCTTGACTTGAGAACTTAATCCGTATTGGAAGGCGGTTCTCAAGTCAAAAAGTTCTCAGGTCAAATCTGCATTTCCCATAGGAATGCATTGAAAACCATTTGATCCGTATCTGCTCTTTTCCGTCCATAGAAACTAATGGGAAGCTGCTATTCCGCCTTCGACCACTAGAGGGGGATATTTTGTTTCTTTTTTTCTTAGGTCAAGAAAGGTTCAGGGAAGGCAGGGAAAATACAGTCCAGGCAGTACCAGGCAGTCTGAAGACTGTCTCCCAATCCACTCTCTAAACACTGGGAGGAGGGAGGAAGCAGACAGGCACCCTTTTCACTGGCCAACAGTTAACTGAAAGTTCACATTTTGCACTTTCCCTGCCTCCCACGTGGGTTTTTTTCAGTTCTTAACTCAAATCTAAGTACTTAAGTCAAGTCAATATTTTCCTATGAGAGCGGTTCTTAAGTCAAAATGTTCTTAACTCAAGCCGTTCTTAAGTCAAGACCCCACTGTAATTATGACAAGAGATAGGTTATATCTTTTTAGTGGTTACATCTAGCCAGGAGGTGAGACTGAGGAGCCTCCCACGTGGGTTTTTTTCAGTTCTTAACTCAAATCTAAGTACTTAAGTCAAGTCAATATTTTCCTATGAGAGCGGTTCTTAAGTCAAAATGTTCTTAACTCAAGCCGTTCTTAAGTCAAGACCCCACTGTAATTATGACAAGAGATAGGTTATATCTTTTTAGTGGTTACATCTAGCCAGGAGGTGAGACTGAGGAGCCTAATGCCGAGGGAGGCCCGGAAGGAAAAACAAGAAACCGGGCCTTCTCGGCAGTGGCTCCTTGTCTTTGGAATAGCCTCCCTCCTGAGATCCGTATGGCCCCTTCCCTGGGCATTTTCAAATGCCAACGGAAAACCTGGCTGTTCAAGCAAGTCTTTCCTCCATCCACCACCCAATTTTGTTCTCTTGCCTCTCCTGTCTGGATTTTTGCATTTTTAGTAATATGTTATGATTTTAAATTGTACTTAGATTTGATACGTTGTCACCTCCCCAGAGTAGTCGGTACAACTAGATGGGCGGGCTATAAATGTAACAAATAAAATAAAATAAATAAAGAAAGAAAGGTTGAAATATTGTAAACATCTGTGATTTGTGAATGCCAGTACAAGAATGGATCAGGAATCTCTTTCAGTATAAATATTTAACACTATCCAAAAGCAAATTGTTATTTGGTAGCATTTTATTTTTGAATATGCTGTCATAGCTCTTGGTTTAAGTCTCTGGTTGCAAAGCCAGAAGTTGGGAGTTTGATCCCCCACAGTGCCTCCTGCAAAGTAGAGCCAGCCTGTGTGGCCTTGGGCAAGCTGCACAGTCTTAGGATGCCCCCAGATGACAGGAATGATAAATCACTTCTGTCTACCTGAAAAGGGTTGCCATAAGTCAGAACTGACTTGATAACACACAATTGGGCATGTTTAGCCTTGAAAGGCTTTCATACAAAGGAGGGGCAGGATCTGTTCTTAATTATCTGAGAGTGCAGGACACATAACAATTTTGGTTGAATATTTGGAAAAACGTCCTAACTGTTAGAGCAGTATGACAGTGGAACTAGTTACCTTGGGAGTTGGTGCATGCTCCAACACTGGAGGCATTCAAGAAAAACTTGGATAATCACCTGGTAGATGTGCTTTGATGGTATTCCTGCTTTGAGCAGGGGGTTGGACTGGATGGCCTTGTAGGCCCCTTCCAACTTCACTTTTCTGTGATTTCTATGAATTGTTGTTGTAGTTATAATAACCAATCTTCATGTTTCAAATGTATGCATCCTGTGAGCATCATCAAAACTAGTTTCAGATGAAAGCATAACTTTAATGTTAGATCTCTTTGTTTCAAAGTTTCATTAGCATCAATGGCATCTGCATAATGCAGATGGAAGGCTATGCCCACTAGGTTTGTCTGGGCTTTTAACAGCTAGTAGACTTTGCCGGCTGAGGGTACTTTGGATACTGCTGCTTCCAGCACTTACTGTATTTTAATCTGTTATTGTTTATTTGCTTGCTTTTCATGGTTGCTGTGATTTTATACCATCTGTGTTTGATTTGTTTGTCGTAAGATATGTTATATTGGTAAGTTAGGGTTGCCATTCTGGTTATGCAGTACAGTAATTCTAGATTCTGGACTTAACCTTACTGGGATGGGAAATGTCATGCCAGAGAAGTGCCTTTTCCCAAGCTCTGGTACTTTTAAAGGAGAAAGGTGGGGTAGAAATATTTTAAATAAACAAATAAAATAAATAATATATATCTAAAGAAATGACTTTATGTGTACCAGAGTCTGGGAGTGATGGTTTTATTTTTTTTAAAAAAGAAAAAGATACATTTCCCAGACTGGTGACTGGTGAACACAGGTTTGACCACATCTCCCCTGTCTTGGTTCATCTGGACTGGTTACCTGTTACCTCCCCTATCAGATCCAAGAGTTTGGGACCACGTTACCTGTTGGAGCGCCTTTTCCTAAGGTCATCCGCCCAAGCCACTAGGTCCTCCCAGGCCACGATCCTCCAGGTAGCCACTCCAAGGGAAGCCAAGAAATCCTTTACTAGAAGTAGGTCCTTCTTTGCAGTGGCTCCAACATTATGGAACCAGCTGCTAATGGAACAGTTC